ATACCCAATTGGAAGTAGTGCCCGATGTCTGCGCACGGATGGTCATCTGACATGTCAAAGTAAGACATTCTCACGGAAGACCAGCTCCTGTCGTTGCGCCAGGTATATCTGTAAGACAATATCGAATATCAGTAACAGATTCCGAGACATTTTACAGGTTTGGAGAATGCAATGAATACAACGGATCTCTGTTGAAGAATAAGGAACGTTTCAGGCAGTTGTGATCTAGTAAATCACAACTGCCTCTACATAATCCGACCTACTGACAGTATTAGTAAACAAACCATAAACAAAATTAAGAAAGTCAAAACAACTTCTGAAACCAAAGTTTTCAATTAACTATCATCATCAATACATTCCAAACAGCACAAAACCAGTCACTAAAATTCAGTAACCTCTGACGCTGTGTTGAGCCAACACTGGTCTGGGTGGAGGCACCTGTGTCCTCTCTTTATCACATCTTCCACAGCTCCTGGATGCTCTACTATTCTGCAAGCTAAGAAAAGCCTGCAGCGGCCATTTTGCTCTGATCAAACAGGGTGAAGGGGTGGAGCACATAAAAAATTCATGTGCTGATGCATAACCGTGTACTGAAAAACAAGTTAAGAAGAAAAAATACAGCTGAATCCTACCGAACATGTGACTGATTCACACATTCTATCATGCTCATGAGAAAAACAGATACACAACACACAAACTCAAGGACTGCATCTCTCCAAAACTACAGTCTCATCTTAGACACCACATGCAGATTGAGCTGATTCACATAATACACCACTCAAAAGTGAACTGCATCATAACTTATTATTAAGGCAATAATTTTTCTGACACAGAAAAAACAAGGGCCCTACATTAACGATCGTTATCATATCTTCGTATATTAATATAAGAGGGGAACGTCTTCCGCTCTATTGATCTACATTCAAATGTAGCTATAAAATTTGACTTCTCTCCCTCTTATCTCTAAAAAGAATACCCTTTCATCCAGTGAACTCTCCACATTAAATTTCCTGTTGCAGCCAAAATAGCATGAGAAAATAGCCTCTTACATTAAGAAGAATGAGCTAACATGATGAGCATGCTCTTCTCTCTTCCTTAAAATCTTATTATTGCTGCAATTTTACTGGAATTTCCTAACTGTAGGAAGGACACATTTTTATTTTGATATATAAATGTGTTATGGGGTTTTTGGAGGTCATCAGAGAACTGAGAAACCAATGTATGTTCATCATACTGGATCATCACACACACAGTCCACACCACCCCATCATATCTCTCCAAGATCCATTTTCATTTTGTCTGCCCACCTACATCTTGGTCTTCCTACTGATCTCTTTCTTACCAATATCCTATATCCATTTGTCCCTCTTTATGCTACATGCCCTGCATGTTTCATCCTCCTTGACTTCACCATTCTAATTATACTTGGAGAAGAGTCCAAGTTATGAAGCTCCTCATTATGCAGTTTTCTCCAACCTCCTGTCACTTCATCTCTCTTCTGTCCAAATATTCACAAACACCCTCAGTCTGTGGTTCTTCCCTTATTGTGAGAGACCAAGTTTTACACCTATACAGAACCAAAGGCAAAATTATAGTTTTGTATATATTAATATTTATGTTTTTGGAACAGCAGATGAGAAGACAGATGGTTCTGGACTGAATGGTAGCAAGAATCAACGGATTTAAATCTCCTCTTAATTTCCTCCTGAATCAAATTTGATTCCTTACTGTCATTCCCAAATATCTGAATTGTGCCACTTTTCCGAAGCATCTGTTGGCTATCTTTATGTCATGATTTTGCCCTACATTCTGCTGATGAGAAAGAAACATATACTTAGTTTTTTCTGTGCTTACTTCTACACCAAATTCCTTACTAGCATCAATTAAAGTTTCTGTCTGTTTCTCATTACGGTACCTGTTATCACCCAACAGATCCCCATTTTCTGCACAGATGCATAAGAGCGTTGCTTAATAAATAACAAGAGTTCAGCTTACTTCAGACACACATCAGGTATACAAAGACAGAAATGAGATTAAATATTCAGTCATATATAATTATGGAATGTTCAATTGCTCTGCTAGAAGATATGCAGTGCTGTTAGTTTATGTATGGCAGAGAAAGAAAAAAAGGTATATGGTTACAATTTCATCATCATTGGCAAAACGTCCCCTTTCGACTGACACACTTCCTTAGAAGATTATGCCAGATTTGTCTTGTGAATTAGTGCATCCAGATTCAGTTCATCAATTTCGCAACAATAATTTTTAGAGTGCAAGGTGATCAGCCTTGCATCCAACACCCAACCCAGAGGACCAGGTCTCCATATTTATGTCCCACAGTGACAGGGGGGCCCAGAGGTAATCCCACGTGCATGTCTAAGAGAAAATATTTCCCCCAGCATATCTCTACAAACATCAGTATTTATAAAATAATCATTTGTAATCATGAAAACATCCCTGAATAAATTATTTCCACATTTTTTTATTTCCTTCAGAGTGAAAGAAAAAAACCACAAATTGACTCTCAATCAAATGAGGTAAACTATGCTCTTGGAAGTGTATCACCGCAAAAAATTAACTTTCCTGATAAATATTGTGACATGTTGACCCCTACCTCCCCAGCGACACGTAGCGGGAACGTAGCGCTCGCGTAATAGGCGAATCATCACCCCGCCACTCTCCCTGCGGTGACGTCAAGAGCGGAGCCGAAGTGAGCCGAGCGGAGCTGAAGATAGCCGAGCCCCCGCAACCTGGTAGCTATGCAATGCGAGTCAACAGCGGTGACGTAACAGGATGACGTGGCACTCATTACGCAACAAGCAAGCACTGCAGCTATATAAGTGAGCTGCACAACGGCTGCGAGTCAGTTATAAAGTAACAGTCGCCGAGTCGAGTTGTAACCTGGCCATCGCCAAAGACAGTTCCGAGTTGTAATGTGGACAGCCACCGAGTTGTACTGTAACAGTCGCCGAGTGTGTTATCAACAGTTCTCCAGTCAGCCGACTACAGTTGAAGTATAGCAGTTGTCGCGGAAAGGAGAACCGGACGTGTGTGTAATTGTGTAATTGGGAGTGTGTGATACAGTGATACATAGCTCCCCTACTGTCAACGTGTAGACCACTGAAGGCAGAGCGAACTGATTTGCGCATAGGGTTATAAAGTGTGAAACCCCGCAACTGTGTAATAATTAATTGTAGCCGTTACTTGTAGGTTGTTGAATAAACCAATTAATGATCTCTACGGCGTATTCAGTGACGAAACACGTTACACTGGTGTCAGAAGTGGGATTTGAACTTACACACGTGACCAACGAGATTCGAACTTAAGACGCGTGGCAATTTGGTGTCAGAATTGTTTACCAGCTTAAACACGCCTCGAAGAATTAGACTTACGACTGTTTCGACTATTTTACTGCTACAAAATGGAAACAGAGCAACTGTTGGAACTCCTGCAGAAGGACTTGAGGGCCCAGCGAGAAGCTGCCGAGAAAAGGGCTGACAGGTGGAAAGCCTGGCGAGGAAAGATGGCCGCCATGCAAGAAGAGCTGGTCGCAGAAACGGAAGCCACTCGAACGGAAACAAGAGCTATCCAAGCACGGACGGAAGGCCATGCGAGAAAATAGGAAGACAGACAAAGAGGATTTAATGGCCAAATTAGACGCCAACCAAGAAAAGGCGGCGGCCGACAAGGAAGAATTGAAGGCCGCAATGCAATCTATGTGAACAGAATTGGATGATAAAATCCAACATAAGAGTTGAAAACATTTTGGCGATCGTTGAACACGACAAACAGACTCTCCGGTCAGAAATATCTGAGCAGATTGAAGTGTCCCTCTGCGCGCGGACAGATAAACTCCAGGAAAGCCTGATGAAAAATTACAACGAAACCTGCTCAGCAATTGACGAAACCAAACGCGAGTTCCAGGCACGGTTGGACATAGTGCAAATAAAGGCCGAGCGGGGAAATACGTCAACGATCGTCGCGAGCACAGCTCAACCACCAACACGTTACACTGGTGTCAGAAGTGGGATTTGAACTTACACACGTGACCAACGAGATTCGAACTTAAGACGCGTGGCAATTTGGTGTCAGAATTGTTTTACGAACTTGAACACACGTCTCGACAAATAATTGAATTATTGTGCATCGAGTACTCTACTGCTACAAGATGGAGATGCAGCAGTTGATGGAAATGCTGGCTAGAATGGAAGCCAGCATGAAAACTGACAAAGAAGAAATGCTGAAAGAGATGAGGGCCTGGCGAGAAAAGGCGGACGCCGACTCAAAAGCCTGGTGAGAAAAGACTTCCGCAGAGACGAGAGCAACCCAAGCAAGGGCGGCACAACAAGAAGAGGTCCCCATAGTGATACCGGTCGGAGAGACGATGGCCTGCCAAGAAATGGAGGCACGTCCAGAAGATGAAAAGCCGGCCTCTCCAGAGAGAGTGAGTGTGCCATAGAATGGAAGTAATGGATGAATGGGACACAACTGGATCTTCTGGCGAGCTGAAAGGAAACCGCTCGAGACGAGCAGGTCTCAAGAGGGGAGCGGTTGTAACTGCCGGAGAGCAATCACTGCAAGGAGTAGCCCAAATACCAGGAGACACAAAAAGAACAGCCTCCAAAGAAAAGTAACGGGATGCACCATTAGGCTATTCGGGACGAACAGCCTTAAGGAGGGAGCAGTGTGACATGTTGACCCCTACCTCCCCAGCGGCACATAGCGGGAACGTAGCGCTCGCGTAATAGGCGAATCATCACCCCACCAATCTCCCTGCGGTGACGTCACGAGCGGAGCCGAAGATAGCCGAGCCCCCGCAACCTGGTAGCTATGCAATGCAAGTCAACAGCGGTGACGTAACAGGATGACGTGGCACTCATTATGCAACAAGCAAGAACTGCAGATATATAAATGAACTGCACAACGGCTGCGAGTCAGTTATAAAGTAACAGTCGCCGAGTCGAGTTGTAACCTGGCCATCGCCGAAGACAGTTCCGAGTTGTAATGTGGACAGCCGCCAAGTTGTACTGTAACAGTCGCTGAGTGTGTTATCAACAGTTCTCCAGTCAGCCGACTACAGTTGAAGTATAGCAGTCGTCACGGAAAGAAGAACCGGACGTGTGTGTAATTGTGTAATTGGGAGTGTGTGATACAGTGATACATAGCTCCCCTACTGTAAACGTTTAGACCACTGAAGGCAGAGTGAACTGATTTGCGCATAGGGTTATAAAGTGTGAAACCCCGCAACAGTGTTAACAGATTAATGCAATTAGGGTTATAAAGCGTGACACCCCGCAACTGTGTAATAATTAATTGTAGCCGTTACTTGTAGGTTGTTGAATAAACCAATTAACGATCTCTACGGCGTATTCAGTGACGAAACACGTTACAATATTCAATTTTTCTTGGTAGTAATTGGTTTAGAAGTGAATACCAATACAACTAAATATATATTTATACCTGTCCTTAAATACGGGGTAGAATTGTAATAGTAAACTTTTTGACAGTACTGTAAAGGTTAAATACACTCAACTCTCGATTATCCGGGATAAAGGTGGGGATGGAAATCACGATTAATCGAAAACCCGGTTAAGACAAATTTTATTAAAAGTAGTACTGTAATACTGTACTTTCATAATACCATAGGCCTACCTGTATTTAAATTTATTCAACCTCATTTTTATGTCATCTCATGGCCTATTTAATACTTATTTTATATTTACACTGAAGTATTAATTAGTTGAAGAAAGCAGTCTTCTGGGATTTTGCACCGTGTATATGTGGTGTTAACCGACGTTTCGGAGGAACGTATCGCCTCCATCTTCAGGGTAGAAGAAAAAATATATAAGAAATCTGCAAGCAAAGAGACCGGTCTCTTTGCTTGCAGATTTCTTATATATTTTTTCTTCTACCCTGAAGATGGAGGCGATACGTTCCTCCGAAACGTCGGTTAACACCACATATACACGGTGCAAAATCCCAGAAGACTGCTTTCTTCATAGTCACCACCGTGAAAGCCTCAAATCTTACATATTAATTAGTTATTTCAATCACTTCAACAACATCCAACACTTTTTATGAATATTCACACCTCAAACTTCTCTTCACTCTCACGATAGTCTAGTAAGGATTCCAAATGATTGAGAGCAGCACCATGTGATATTTTCTTACTAGCAGCACTGTCCACCTCCTCCTCATTCTCACTTTCTTCCCGCTCTCTTGGCTGCACCCCCACCGAACTTACGATTTCGTCACTGCTTAACATTTCGAAGCCCGGCTCGCACGAGTCACAGTCAAACCACTCTCTTATATTGTCCTCGTTGACTTCTTAACCACAATGAAGTTGGTTGGCCAATTTTGTCAGTTCTATGGCTATCTCATTTTCACTGAATCCAGTGAATCCATGGATTTCGTAATCTTCATTAGTGATGAAAGACATCAGTTTCTTCCATGAATTTTTCAATACAGATGGCTTTACTATATCCCATGCTGTTGAAATCTCATATATGGCATCTAACATTGAAAAAGACTTCTAGAAACACGTCAAATCATTGCCTTCATTGATGTACTTTTGTAGCAAATTTGATCTGTAGATTCTCTTCATACCTGAGATAACTCCTTGATCCATTGGTTGGATAAGTGCGGTAACATTAGGAGGAAAATATTTCCATCATCTGACCTCAGGAGACTTTCGTTAGGATGTGAGGGCGCATTGTCAATGAGGAGCACAGCTTTCTCATCATATGTTCATTTTTTCTTGGTTTTTCTCTTCCTCATTCCGCGTGAATTAGAAGACGAAGCAAAGGAAATTAATTGATTCTTTTGATTTTTCAAATCACGAACAGTTTGTTCTCCAATACCGTATTGCATTGCTAATTGTTTAACAACACCTCTTTTTCCCAACTGATTGATCATTTCAAGTTTCTGTTGAATAATTAACACAACACGCTTTCCTTTTACACCCTGCATTTTGCTAATGCACTTGAAGATTGATACAAAGAGACTAACTGGGGCAGTGTATCTGTCATTGAAACTTTCCAAAAATCCTTGCATTCCTTCACCCCTACCCTTGAACACTGTGTTAGCATAACGGGACCAAAAAATGCAGAGCTCGGTTCACACTTGTACGAAAATAGTCTTACAAGTCACAATGTGAAACAAAAGTTAATGAATATTAAACAACATATAAGCCTCAAAAAACCCTGGCAGCTCTGATTAAGGCGCTAACCAGTTTATCCGCACCCAGATAATCGAGAGCTGAGTGTAAATATTTTGCAAAACAAATGAAAATTGTATTCAAGTAGGAATTAAGGGCAGATCTAATTCCTTTCAGAATCTTCTCTCTTCTATTCTGTTCCCCAAAGAAAGTATGGATTAAAATATACACGACTCTGACCTTACTTGTTATTTTATGAAATGTGAAACTTGGCACTGAAACTCAGATGACCGTAATCTTTTAATAATTATTTAATATACTGCAATTTTATGTTCACTTAACTTAGCCCTTTATACATCTGTACCAAGTATGTGTACCACTTCTAAAATAAGATTAGGGGCCATCTTGTGCATGGAGTTCATATATGGGCTTACTTTGGGCATCAGAACAGACAGTGAATATGTCACAAAAGACCATTAGCCAAAGGATGCGGAATGTTTCGTTGGACATAGAAGAAACCCGTCTCTATTATTAAATTGTTAGGAGAAGAAAGAAATATCAGGATGATGGAGAAAAGTACTCTGAAGAGCTGCTTAATTTGTATTCTTCAACACTCGTAGAGTGGCAATAGGCTGAATCTCCATCTCATCAACATAGATACTGACCGCAGCTTTGAGCAGTTTTCTTCAGTTATTCCATGCAAATGTCAGACTAGACTAATGCCATGATGTTCCAATCCTATTCCTGTTCAACCAGATTTTCTCATATATTTTCTTATATGTCACATCATTAAGTGAAAAATTTCATGTTAAGTCAATAGTGTTTTCCTTCTACTTCTTCATGTAAATGGAAGCCCCATGCATGCTAGGTAAGAACAATGCCAGCTGGAAGGTAGGTTCAGGCAGGCAGGCACAGACAAAAGCAGGATTAAACAGGCTCAATAATAAGCATGCAGACAGGCTTAGAGACAAGGGCAGGCAGACGCAGGCATGCAAAATTTAGGCCAGTGTCAACTGAAGGAAAAAACCATTGGCCTAACTGAGATGTTACTTAAAAGCAAACATTTATTACGCGGAAATTAAGTCTAAATGCACAGAACAACTAAGATTACTCCTGCAAGACGGATTGCTGATGTACATGTTACCTCATAAATCCTGGAATGGTGTGGCGGTATCATTTCCACCGTCACTAGGACCACTTGTGTCTCTGTAACATACCCAGGAGTAGATTAATTTTCACCAACACTCATCACCACATCACACTGGCGTTTGCCTCTTCATTCAGTCAGAACTGTCTCATTGCCACTCACTTTGGATATGGGTGACACGGGGCCACCACAAGCAGCAACTTCGCAACAGGTTCTCTCAGACTCCAAGATGTGGATTGTAGTACAAAGAAATAGCCCATCACTTCCCAGAAATAAATGATAAAGATCAACTAAAACATCACAATGAAAAATACTTAATTATTTGATTATAACAGAGAACAGTTTGAGTTAAATTAGTATGTCACACCCCTTTAACAGTGTCTCAATTTCCATTATAACTTCAGTCAACTTGATCACATTTCCTTATACAAGGTGGTTCAAATATGACTGGGACTGATTTTTTTTTCTTTAAACCATAATTGCCAAACACTTACTTGCACATGTCAGTCTTCAACGTACTCCCCTCCAGAGTCAACACATTTTTTCGAACGTTCTGGAAGCATCCTGATACCCTTTTGAAAGATGTCTTGTGGTTGGTGGCGTATCCACTCCTGAACAGTCTGGATGACAGAGTCGTCCATAAACCCCATGCCTTGCAAGTCTGATTTGAGCCTTCCGAACAGGTAGAAATCACTTGGGGCCAAATCAGGACTATACGGCAGATGTGTCAGAAGGTTCCATTTCAATTTCCGGAGGGTTTCCGTTGTTGTTTTGGCCGTATGGGGGCGTGCATTGTCTTGAAGGAAGGCTACCGGCTTTCCACCTGTCTTCTGCTTGGATCGGATCTTTTCTTTCATGTCTGTTGCCAGGAGGTCTGAGTAATTCAGAAAGTCTACATGGATAACCCCCTGCCAGTCCCAGAACATTGCCATCACTTTTCCTGCCGAACGGCTCCTCCGCGCTCTCTTGGGTTTGGGAGAACTGGTATGCGGCCACTCGCGTGATGACTGCTGGGACTCGGGAATGAAGTTGAGCACCCATGTTTCATCGGTGGTCACTATAGACTTCAAAAATGCATCACTATCATCTTCAAACTGCTGTAGGAGATGACTGGCAGCTTGCATGTGCACCATTTTGTTCAAGTCCGTCAAAGTGCATGGTATCCACCGTGCATTCACCTTGCGATAGTGCAGGTGGTATTTCACGATGTCTTCTACACTACCAACACTGATGGACAGCATTGCTCCAAGTTCCTTGATAGTGATGCGCCTATTCTCAAGAATAAGCAAGTCTGCACGATCATTGTTTGGCTCGGTGACGGATGTTTGCGGCTGACAATCATGCGGTTCATTCTCCATGCGCTCTCTGCCCTCTCTGAAGCACTTACACCACTCAAACACATGGGTCCATGAGAGACACTCTTCCCCATGCTCTTGTTGGAGTCTGGTGAATTTCAGCGGACGGGACGTTTTCTCCGAGGAATTTGATCACAATGCGTTGTTCCACGCTCCACAGTACCTTCTGTTCGCTCACCACTCTAGCAACTCCCAGACAGGTCAGAACAGGTTCTAACCCGAACAGGAGGGAGGGTGGAGGTTGTGGCTTCACTCTCTCAAGGTCACACAGCTGCTGCGCAGTGCGGCTTGTTTACACACAAATCAGTCCAGGTCATATTTGAACCACCTTGTATGTTACATCATTAAGTGAAAATTTTCATGTTAAGTCAATAGTGTGTGTTTTCTACTTCCTCATGCCAGTAAAGAGGAAAGTGCCCCAATTCCAAAGGGATTGCTCTTTGTGCAGTCAAGAATTATGTGCACCTCACTGTTGAGAGCCAATTACAAGCTGTAAATTTGAAAACTTTCTTTTCAACACAACAAAGAGAGATGCTTTGACTTAATGTCTAAGACACTAAGCAATCTCGATTTTGGCTTCAAGCCAGATGGGCAAATTCTGTCACATCAGTGTGCAAAGATGGTCAGTTGTAATTGTTCTTTCATTCATCTTCAAGTCATAACCTGACATGCCAGTTACACATATTTGCAGACAAATTACATGTTACAGCGTTTCATCAAGAATGTATCCCCAGATGACAACTGTGTACTTGTTTTAATATATACTGGTTTTTCTAAGTGTAAAGGATTTTACTGAATTACACAACAAATGAAAACGAAGCTTCCTTATATCACCTATAATACTTGAATTCACACTGTATACCTTTGAGAACTCAAGCTCACGTGTAGTGGCTGGTTACACAAATGCTTCAATCTATATCGTGAGACTAACAGAGATACAAATAATGATTACACAATGTAATCATCAATTACCATGTATTATTTCCAACAGCAGAAGTTGGGGCAGCGACTGGCCAGAGACTGGACAGTCAGGATTCGATTCCTGGCAGGTACAACAGATTTACATTTACACCACAGACTCATTTATATAGTGCAATATATTTATTTGATGAGAGCCGCTCTATACTTTGTTATTTACCTTTGCATTTTACGAATGATCAACTGGTCATATGTTTGTGAGCCTGGGATGGCAACAGTTAACATCTATCGTGGCATTCACAAATTTTAGTACCCAACAATGGATGTGTATTACCGCAAAGTAGGTCGTACTACCTTAGCAATTATGAAATCTGAAATTATTCCTTTTTTATCCTCCACATAACTGTCAAAACCGATATATTCAATATATGCTTTATGGACTGATTAAACACCTGGCTTCAAACAACACAATGCACGCACAAAAATTTACATCCTAATACACAATGCAAGACAAAGTAAGAAATATATACCTTTCTTTTCTCTCAGGCTTCTGAAATCTTCAAAACTGTTAGAAAAGTGGCTCTCTTCGTTCCACAAAAAGACGTTCACGCAAGCAACAGTAATTATACAAGGGATCAACCGCTTGCGACCCGGTATGACGGGAAATAACTATTGCGGACCCCGTTGTAGCATTGACGTCACGATCACACCATCCCACCCTCTATATTCAGCTATTGATGTAAAATTTCAGTCGCAAGTGCCGAGGGCACGATCGGTAACAAAGCATTCCATCATATCATCACTTTAATTCCACTCCCCCCGCCTGAACCCAAAAAATCGATAGTTCGCAAAAATACTAACAAATATTTTTTCTGATCTCATCCCGTGTACAGCGGGGGGGGGGGGTTACTCTATTTGTTAACTCTGTTTTATCTCAATTCACTCACATCCACCAAAATTGAGCAACACTGGGAGACTCACTTCATATTTAGTGACACTTGTCAAATCACTTCACCAATGAAGAGAAATTAATTGGATTTTGGCTCAATATTCAAGCTAAAATTCTATTTGGCCATCATTAATTTACGGCTGCATTATCATGTATTCGTTTCATTTTAAGTGTTCAATAAGAAACGTATATATTTTCAGCAAAATGCTAAAAGGAAAAACACAAATTCTGACTGTGACAGTTGCTGAGGTATACTATGTCATTGGATGTGTATCAATGCAAGAAAATAACTTTACCTTTCTTGGTAGTAATTGGTCTAGAAGTGAATACTGATACAACTAAATATATATTTATATCTTGTCCTTAAATACAGAGTGGAATTGTTAGAAAACGGTAGCTAGTAAAGTATTTGAAGGTGGTGGAAAGTAAATAAATATTTTACAAAACAAATGAAAATTGTATTCCAGAAGGAATTAAGGGCAGATCTAATGCCTTTCAGAATCTTCTCTCTTCTATTCTATTCCCCAGAGAAAGTATGGATTAAAATATACAAGACTCTGACCTTACTTGTTATTTTATGAAATGTGAAACTTGGCACTGAAACTCAGATGACCGTAATCTTTTAATAATTATTTCTTAATATACTGCCATTTTTTGTTCACTTAATTTAGCCCTCTATACATCTGTACCAATTATGTGTACCACTTCTGAAATAAGATTAGGGGCCATCTTGTGCATGGAGTTCATATATGAGCTTAGTTTGGGCATCAGGACAGACAGTGAATATTTCATAAAAGACCATTAGCCAAAAGATGTGGAATGTTTCGTTGCAGGTAGAAGAAACCTGTTTCTATTATTAAATTGTTAGGAGAAGGAAGAAATATCAGGATGATGGAGAAAAGTACAATGAAGAGCTACTTAATTTGTATTCTTCAACACATATAAAAGAGTGATCAACTCAGCAGACTCATACAGTGACAATAGAGTCTGAATCTCCATTTCATCAACTTATATATTGACTGCAGCTTCGAGCAGTTTTCTTCAGTTATTTCATGCAAATGTCAGACTAGACTATTGCCACGATGTTCCAATCCTATTCCTCTGCAACCAAATCTTACTGCCTCATTCCATCCTACATACTCTCTCAAATGATGCAGCATCGATAAATAGCCTCAGAACCAATCTCGGGGGAAAAAAGAAAGGCATTCCACTCATTGCAGTAACAAGGCTATGGGGCTCAACGCAGGGCAAACACCTCAAGAGAAGCTATATAGCTTTAAAAATTCTGGGTCCTGGAATAAGTAAACTTTGTCGCACTTTCTAAGGATATATTTGGCATCTTTGGCGATAAGACATGGACATGACAATAAAATAGCCTGACTAAAAGAGTAATCGTAGCAGACCTGATATTTGATTCTGGTATCCTACAAATAAAAGATGAGAACTTTAGAGTCAACCTGACACTGTGCACAACACAGAAGAACAAGCCAATAAGAGAAATTACAGGAGGGGCAGGAGGATATAAAGACAATGGTAAGCGTGAAGATAAGCACAGAGGATGGAAAGACAAGAGAGCAGAAACAACCTAAGAAAGAAACATCCATGAATTGTGATGCTGCTGATAAACACCATATCATACCACATGAACACACAAAAAAAAAGGTGAGAAATAGCCATTATTTATTATCTGTAGTTGTGCTGACATTGGCTGCCACATTTGAATAAACAAAGTGTGCTGTCTCTCTTCACAACAAACATAGTGGCTATACATGTCAGTAAGGTACAAAAAATAATCTGCATATAATTCCATACCATAATTACAAATGATAAAACAATTCCGTCCAGTGTCTGTTGAAGCTTTTACTACTTCACTTCTTAGCACCCTAACATGTTTCGGTCCCTATAGACCCTCATCGGAAGGAACATCAATACTTTTAGAAACTACTATTACATTATACTATTACATTATAAATGTCTTGTTGGCTGTGCTTTAGTCGTAAATATAACGTGTAACAGCGTAAATATGTTTAACAGTTAAAAAATGCCGTCTTCTGGGAGGTGAGGCCGTGTAGTTCTTGGGTGAATCGACATTTCGGAGGAAGGTATCGCCTCCTTCTTCAGGGTAGAAACATAGCGAAGAGGAACCAGCATGAGCAGGTGCAACAATTATTTCTTCAACCGTGATCTTCTGGTAACATACTTTGTTAGTGTCAGCATTTGTTATGCATCTGCTATGCAGCAGAACATTTTATATGTACATTTGTGCCTTACTCATGTATTATATTTCATTCGGTTATCGCCTGCTTTCTTTATTTTACAAAAATGGAAGTGGTCTGATGACCGCCGCTGTGGTCTAGTGGTCAGAGTTCCTGGCTACAGATCCAGAGGTCCGTGTTCAATTCCCGGCGCTACCGGTTTTCCGAGAAGTAGTGGGTCTGGAACGCGGTCATTTCAGCCTCTTGAGTATAATTGAGGAGCTGTGAGTATTTCAAGGAAATAGAAACCCGAAAATTGACGGCCGTGGGGATTCGTTGCTCTGACCACAAGGCACCATTTATCCGCTAAATTTGGCACTAATTTCGCTGACAAGCGGCGCCCTCGGTCGGTATAGTTTGGTTGCGGACTAATTCCACGGGAGTTTGTTTTTATGTTGGAAGTAGTCTGATCAGAGCACCTTTCTAGGTTTGTGTCTATATGTTACCCCCCCCTCCAAAACTCTTGAACCCCTATACCGAACTTCATGGAACCTGGTATGTATCATGCCGAGGCCATCTCAGAAGCGTGCCTCATTAATAAGTTCTTTCCATCAGTAGTACAAACACAGAAGCCTCTCAGAGTGTTGAGGTAATAAACTTAATACTACTTAAATGCCTTAGTTGATCGTCATGAAACTTGAGTTTGGCTACAATTTACCATTTCGGATTTTATTACTACGTGCGTAATTCTGGAATTAAAAAGTGAATTTATTGTGTTGTTTTATTTACTTTATTGTTCATACAGCGCATTTTTGTGCTCATTTTTATTACAAATCTAGGAAATCCTGTGAACCATGCCAATAACTCTGATTCGTTTTCTTAGTGGTAAAGTGCCCCGATAATGATAAGTTTGATTGCCTATTTTACTTTGCTTGGTACAAACTACATCTAATTAAAATCTGACGAGCTGGTGACCACCAATAACCCAAAAATGGCACTTTGAATGACTGGAAATCTGTTAGATTCCTGCTAGCTGCCTCTATCCACTGTTTACACATCTGCCCGACTACGGATCTGCAGGCAACGGCTAAATGTAAAGCCTGCGGCAAATTTTTGAATTTAATAAATTCCTCCAAACGCCGGAGATGAAATATGGGGTTTGTGTCCGTGGCGTCGTCAAACCGAGGTAACGGAAGTTCAGCGCTACTTAAGAAACTTGACACAGCTACTTGTTCCGTAGGCCCATTCACACTACATACATTCATGCCACTATTAGTAACTGCGTTACAGTGAGTCGACTGGCAAGAACAACTACCGTTCCCACTAGTCATCCCATTGTTACCACTAGTGTCTACTTGAACTTGGGATTGGTCATTCTGACGCACGTCGGAAGGAGAAGTTGTGCCGTGGCCCATTTCAAGCACATCGGTTGCCAAATGCTGCCTATTCGACAGTCCGTGAAATTTGCCTTCTAAGGTTATTGCCTTTTCGTTAATCTTATCAAGTTTGCGATCCACCTCGGATTTTTCTTGGGTGGACGCTTTGGCAATTTCCTCTAGTCTCTCCTTCTGGCGTGTGAATCTGCTATCTACCTCTTGCCCTAAGTTGGCCAAGCTGGCGTCTATCTCGGACCTGTGTGCTACAATGTGGTCCGACAACTCGTTAAGCATAAGTTGAGTGTTAGTACTGGCCTGCTCTAATCTGGTCTCCAAATCAGTACTAATGCCTATCACCTGCTTTTTCGCCCCTACTAATTCCAATTCGGTCTCTTTTTGCATCTTAGAAACTGGGCTGGTTACTAGCCAGGCTTCTGCGTCTAACTGTGCCTTAAATTCTCACCTAACCTCCTGGTTTTGCCTCTCAAATTGTTGTATTACTTTTTCACTTTCCGCTTTGATATCTGCTCGGACACTACCTATGTCTGCCCTAACGGTTTCTTAATGTCTGTTAGGATCGGCCCTAATTGACTCGTGATGCTGTTTATTGCTTTGCTGGATCGCGGTCATGAATCCAGCCAACATTTGTTTAAGCTCATCCCTGGCCCCTGGAGTGTGAGGCTGGGGACTTGTTTCCCTCACTTGATGCTCTACAGTTAACGCATCTGGTTGGGACACTGACTCCGAAACTAACTCTGACTCCTGTGGTGAGCTGAGCGACTGTCCTTCTGTCTCGCCTAGACTGCCTAAGATCTCTGACTGTTCGCTGCAGTTTGCCCTGGCACTCTCCCCAGCCTGTAAGTTCTGGTCCTCCTGCTGTCCCTCTACTGTGCGGTTACGAAGTGATCGGCGAGCCATTTTCACTTTTGGACACTAACCTGTTAGTTATGTCACGGCGACCTTCATTGGGTGTCTGTAGCTGTGGATCTTGTAGCTCGTAGTTCCGGCCGTCCTAACCTTTCGTATCATGTTAAGCTGCCACGGTGTCCCTGGTGTTTGGTGTTGGTTGTTAGCGAAGTTAAGCATGGCGCGTGTGGCTATTCTCCTCCTTATCCTTCCTTTGCTGA